TCATCTGCTTCCCATTTGCTCCTTTTCTTTTGTTAAGATCAGGACGGCCAAAATCAGAAATTTTAAAAAGTTATAACATAGAAAAAATTTATTTAATCGCAGTTCTTTATCTGTGGTGCTTTATTTCAATCTACTTCATATATTGTGTTGTAAAACACTGAATAAACTTACCACACTTTGTGGTAGACACTACTTGGATAGGGTTCATTTTGTATACGACTGATTCCCTCAAGGCTTGGACAGCATCCCCCTACCTTTGGAGAACATCACCCTCCAAGATAGATAGTCTGGAAAACTGCAAATAGTAGGGTGCCTCCCAGGAGAGGGGCATTGTTCCTCTAAATAAATTTTTTTATGCTCTTCACAAACCCAGAGATGTAAGGTAAAAATAAAGCTGGTACATATCCTAATATTGGGAACCTGTGAATGAGACTGACAGGGAACTTTCAGTATGAAGGATTTATTGCATCCCTGAAAATGCCATCTGCTATAACATCCCTGCAATCCAGCAGCCAGTTACTATTGAGACTTTCAGAGATGTACAACCATCTACCTACCTCCCCTCCTCCATAGCACTGTGTCCAGGCACTTGGAGTTATGGTTCCTGATGGTGGTTGTTACCAGTTTAGCTCTCAAAGTTGAGGACTGCTCTATTAATTTCAAAACAGTGTGATACAAAGAGGGTATCAGGAAGGAAAAACATTATGAAAGTGGCATAAAAAGATGAAAAAGCCTATTATGATCTAAACCAAGTGCATACCTCAGATCATGAATTCTTGAGTAACTATTAAAATATGCCATATGTATTGGCATCCTTAGAGAAGATTCTGATCACCTCTGTCTACTATTTTCTCATACAATCAGAGTGTTTTGCTTTTAAAAAGATAGTATTCTGTAGCTGCCCACCAAGAAACCTAATGTCTCTAGTCTTCCCTTTGAACATCTCTTTTCAAATGTTTCTCACTATCATTTAGCTCTGAAAATCATCACCTTACTGAGCAAGTTCCAAGTGCCCAGAACCAAAACTGTGCAACTGTTCTTACAGGCAATGCAGGCCAGAAACCTCACCTCTGTTGCAACAAGTATCTGCTTCCATTAAAATATTATTGCTTTACTGTTTGCATTTCTTTAACTGTTTTCGCATACTGTTGTGGTTTAACCCCAGCCAGCAACTAAGCACCACGCAGCCGCTCACTCACTCCCCCCCATCCAGTGTGATGGGGGAGAAAATCAGGAAAAGAAGTAAAACTCCTGGGTTGAGATAAGAACGGTTTAATAGAACAGAAAAGAAGAAACTAATAATGATAATGATAACACTAATAAAATGACAACAGTAGTAATAAAAGGATTGGAATGTACAAATGATGCGCAGGGCAATTGCTCACCACCCGCCGACCGACACCCAGCCAGTCCCCGAGCGGCGAATCCCTGCCCCCCACTCCCCAGTTCCTATACTAGATGGGATGTCACATGGTATGGAATACATCGTTGGCCAGTTTGGGTCAGGTGCCCTGGCTGGGCATGAGAAGCTGAAAAATCCTTGACTATAGTCTAAACACTACTGAGCAACAACTGAAAACATCAGTGTTACCAACATTCTTCACATACTGAACTCAAAACATAGCACTGTACCAGCTACTAGGAAGACAGTTAACTCTATCCCAGCTGAAACCAGGACACATACCTATTAGAACATTTGAAAATGTATATAAAAATCTTGGTTAAGAATATCTGGTATTGGAAAAAAAAATCATAAATACTGAAGCAGACCTTTTGAAAATATTTATGTACTACTAGGCCTGCTTTTCAGTAAGTTGCCGAAATTTCTCAATATTTGCTTTACCCTAGTTGTGATTTTTAAAATTACTTACTTTTGCCATTCACTGATTGAATTTTACTAAAAATTTACTTCCAGATGTTAATTCTTACATTTTTATAATTAATTTTTTGGCAAAACCAAAAACTGCACATGAGAAAATAAGTTTTATTCTCTGTTGTTTAGACAAGCTTGATGCGTTCCCTGAAAGCACATGTGCCCTTTAAAACACTGGGATTACAAAACATATTTCAGTTAATTGGAAAGAGGATGTAATTACAATTAAACTAATTTTTCCTGTAATCTAATCCAAAAACTGAACTCTTTTTAATTCCCTTCTTTGTTTCCGTACTGATGAGGGCAACATAGCATACCAATTCCCTTGCATAATTTTGACTGCTGGGCTCTCTATATCTGTGGCACAGCAGCATTATCTTTCAGGGACCTACCTATGTAGAGCTTCCATTGCTGTCGGTGTCATTGCAAAGGAACACTTGTGACTTTATTATTTTTTTCTTTTTTTTTTCTTCTTCATAATGACACATCCGTAGGATACATCTGCTCAAGAAATTAATAAGTATAGGGCAGTATCTGCTGTTAAAAGAATAGCTCTGAGGTGGAGAACATTCCTTTGCAGACAAGGATCGTGCATTTCTACCACTGGAATGAAAATTTGCTCTAAAAAGATCTTTATGGTTTTTGCTACGTGGACTGATGTGATAATGATTATGTCTGCATGTTATTTTTCAAGCAGATATGCACTTGCTTTGTCTGGACCCTAAGCTGATCAAAAGCTTTGCAAATAGAATTAGTGCTGTCCTGAGCTAATAAACCCTGACTTACAGGCACGTATATTCTTGTGGCCTCAAGTCAAGCTTAGTGTGAGAGCAGAGCAACCTCACATTTGCCTGCCAACCTTTTGTAGACATACCATGAATCTGGTCTTTACTTCTGCCCGGACTGGTACAGCAGCAGTTCAGTGGCAGGCACTGTAGTAGTATACTTACCATTGACAGGGCCATAGATGGTAATTTGTGTTATGCTGTTGGCTGGGCACATCGCCATGTGACTTGGCAATGAAAATAAAAAAGTCCCAAGACGAGGCATTCTGACTTGCTTTCAGCACATGTTGGGTAAACATATGAGTGTTGAAGACAGCTAAGCTTCTTCTCTATTCAATGCACCATTTATAATACTGAATTTCCCCCATTTTTTTTTAACCTTAGCCTCTCTGTAATAAATAAAAAAATTATTGGGGGCGATTATGATGGAAAATAAAATAAGTATTATTTGTAAATAATTTTAGAGGTGTTGCACAGTAAGTCTGCAAATATTCAGACTAAAGATACAGAATGAGCTGAAAGTGGTGATCTTACAGAACCTTCTCCTTCCAATCAGAGGTGACCTGAAGTATTTCTGTCATCAGCCAAGAAAGTCAAATGATGATGGGAACTAAAATTGTGCTGCTTTAGCCCATTTATGTAATTTAGCAAAAATCAAAGAATAAGGTTCAGCCCATGTCCTATGGAGTGAAAAGTTGAACTGATAGGGATTTAGATTTTATTTAGATTTTATTGTCAACAGTAAAAAATGAATATAAAATTTACAAGTGAACTACAACATTTCGATGTTTTTGTTGCTGATTTAATTAAAAGGGAAAATGCTATCTCCTCTTTAAGTACTGAAATATGTATTGTTGGTGAGATGACTGATGCTGCTAGAATTGAACCATCTTTATGACAAAAAAGAAAAAAGCAACCATTAAATGTAAATGACTGATTTTTCAGTTTTCTCTCCTAAGCAATCTTTCTACCCTTTTTCTTATCTGAACAGTCTCCTTTGGCCTGAGATCATAAGCAGAATTATTGTCAGAAAACATTTTCTGGGAAATGTGGATGGTTGGAATATCAAAATTAATCTTAGAGTGGAAAGTATGATGATATTACCATTTCTAATTTTGTTGCTACCAACAAAAGTATATTATTGTGCCAGAATCATACATTCATATGCCATGCATTAAGCAGACAGCTTCTAAAATTTCTGCTTAAATGACCTAAATTATATATAAACAATGACACGCTTGTATATAATAAAGTATTTATATATTAAATATACAGAAAAGGTATATGTGCATATGCTGAAACTTTGTGGACATCTGGAGTATTGAGATAAAGTTATGATTTCCAGCTGGAACATGACAATTTTTAAGCAAGTCAGTCTGATGTATTTTAAGATGATAGACCACACAGTTAATTTGATCTCAATGTCATTCAAACAACTGTATTGTGGACAAAACCAAAAGCTAGCACATGGTCTGCTTTGCTTCACTGCTGAACATTTTGCTTTTCTTTTTTTTTTTTTTAAATTAATTAACAGTTTTGAGTGCTCCTGCATATTAGCTTTCTAGACTTTATTGTTCTGCTAGTGGATGTCTGCATTTCTAAAAGAAATTCTCATTTCCATTTGAGCTGATAGTACTGCAATTAGCAATTCCTCAGAACTGTATTCAGTATTTACTAAGATATGTTTAGGACCTACAGTTAAGAATAAAGCCTGGAAAAAAAAGTGGGATTAAAGACATGGGGAAGCTCAGTTCACCATTTCCTTAGGTTACAAATATTTCTTCGAAGTCTTCTTTGCTCATCTACAAATACATGGATGGTTCTCACACAAAAGTTTGTCCCTTGTCTCCAAGTGCTTCATTAAAAGTACGGCAGTAATTAAGTCTGTCCGATCACCCTACAGAGCCTACAGCAGAAATCAAGGCTGAAGTTGTCACTTTGGTAAATATCTGAGGCTTACTATTGAAAGAGGGCCATTGAATGAAATAGGCAAGAAATGAAAAGAAACCTTGATAAGAAATTCAACATTTTTACCATTACTTATATTATCTGGATTGCTCCTTTAAATATCCTAAGTGTCTTCAAATTGTCTTATAATTTACCTTTTTTACAAATTGAACTTTTATTAGGCAAATACTTTTTCCCCCCTTCTTGAGCTCAAAAAATGGACTTTTATAGCAATGTTTTAGCTCTGAAGAAATAGGGCTATGCAAGATATGCAAACACTTTGAACTTTCCTCGCCTTCTGATTTTCCTAGACAATAGATCAGTGGAACTTCTACCTCCTCCCCAACCAACACTGCATGTCTGATCATCTTTTTGTCTATTTTTCCTTCCTACAGGGACCCTATAAAAATACAGCAGCTACAGAACCAAATTCGTCTGGAGCAAGAAAGTGGCCAGTGGTATCGTCACCAACAGCAACCTGATCAGCAGCAGCAGCACCCTCCCTCTTCTCCTTCCTTTCCTCCTCCCCCCTCCTTCCAGGAGCTTGAGTCCAGCCAGTCTGTCACCTCTCCTGTGCCAATGAGTATTCTTAACTCTCATACTTCCCCAACCATGCAGTCTTCCAGTTCCTTCAACTATGCTCGGCCTAAGCAGTTCATTGCTGCTCAGAACATCAGCCCTGCTTCAGGTTATGTGACTCCATCTTCAGGATCATCTACATCCAGCCTTCCTTCTCCTATGTCTCCAACTGCTTCTCAGAAACAGTTTGGGAGAGTGCCTGTTCCCCCTTTCTCTCAGCAGTTTGCTCCAGAAGGGGAATATGCCTGGTCTCCTTCTTCTCCATCCCCTCCTCCCCCGCCTCCACCTGTCTTTAGTCCAACCGCAACATATCCAGTGTGTGATTCCTTTCCACTTCCACCTCCGCCACCCCCTCCTCTTCCTTCACTTTCTTCACCTTCCCACAGCCTGTCTCCAACTCCCAGATTTCCTAATTCCGGCCAGTCTCCAGCAGCTTTTCTCAGCTCCATGCTGCCATCCCAGCCACCACCCATTTCTGTCAACGCATTAGGCCTCCCAAAAGGAGTGACGCCTCCGTAAGTATCAGCTAATGAGCTCCTTGAGTTTGACTGTACTGAAGATTGTACTGAAGATAATTGCACTTGCTTCATTTTATACTTTTCTTGGGTCCTTTTGCTGTTAACTGCTACCTGAGAGGGAGAGATGTGGGAATTATTTGCAAATGCCTCTGTGCTAGAGATGGGATATAGTTTTCTAACCCTCACAGAAGTGAGGTTCTGAAAGAGTCCTACAGTGGGAACACAAAAGAGGAGAAGCCAAAGGTTTAAATTTGAGTTGATGAAAATATGAGAGCAGCAGCAAAAGACTGTGCATGCCCAGGGCGGTAGAAGGAGGTCCAAGAAAACCCTCTTCATGACCCGGTTCTTTTAAAGTCACATATTCAGTGATGCTTGCAGTCTATGTTCCTATTACATCTGCAGATAGAGAAGTATCAAGTAAAGTGAGCATTGTTTAGAAGTCCCTATAGCTCTGCGATACTTAAAGCATAAGGTATTAAAGTATACATCTGACAACAAAGTGGTCATAACGATATATTGACTTTTTGCTAGAGTTTTTGTTCTGAGGATGTTTGGAAAAGGGTTTAGGAGGGGATTTAGAAAAGCAGTGCATAAAAACAAACAGAATCCCTCCCCCTAACAACTCTGCATACTTGTTTTCCCCTTTTGTCTTCTCTAAAGGCCAAAATAGTATTTTGGAGCATGTCAGCTCCCATCATAGATCAGTTTGTCTTTCCACTGGCACTAGACTCTCATTCCATCCTTAGAGAACAAAGAGACATGCTGAAGAACAAAAATGAGAATAGCTGTATCCAAGGCTTATTTATAACTTTGTCTAGAAGTTTGTCTAAACATATCTACGGTATCTAGGTGACTTGCTCAGCTACACACTGTTGCGGTGGGAACTTCTGTTATTTCAGTCCAAGATATGAAAAGGAAGAGAAGAAAGAAAGCAGACAGATATCAAAGTAATAAATCATGTATATGCTTTAAAAAGCATTTCTTTATCTTGATTTCTGTCATATAGCTCATTCATTATGGAGTCTGGCCATAAAATAGATTTAGGAGAAAAATGAATAAATAGTACAGTTTGCCCTTGCAGTCATAATAGTTGTGATTTTCTGTCTTACTGTGTTCTTTGCGCTGGCTGAGTTTCTCTATCGATAATGACTGCTGAAAGTTGCATGATTAATTTACTGACAGCTTGACAGGTAAGCACAGCCCACAAAAGCCTGCAATTACCCCTGATTTTCCAGCAAAGGCTCTAGTACAGCTATATAGCTCTGGATAGGAACTGGATTCTCTTTCAAGTTCCTTTCTGTGTGCTGTGAGGGTGACAGCAGCAGATCGAGCCTCTGCTGTGTCCCTCTTTCGCTGTTATGCTACATTCACACATGTTCTCACTTGAGGCATTAGCTGTGCTCTTTCTCATTCCCTTTGATCTTTGGACAGAGAGACAACTCTGCAAGGATGCTTCCCCCTTCCCCATGCCCCTCACTTCCCCAAGCCTAGCAGCCAGTCTGGGTGTGCACGTGATGGTGTGTCTATCCCCCGGGACAAGGCAGCAGCCTCAGGCTCTGAGCTGAGAATGAGGTGGTTGGCTGTTTGGCCTGCATTCCCTCAGGAAATGTAGTCCAGATGGGAGCTGGATCATGTTAACCATACTGAATGTATGTGTGTATAATTTATGTATATGTATATACACATGTGTGTGTATATATATACGATGAGCATTTGTCATCTGAATTATAACATTAAAACATAGTAAAAGATATACTGCATGATGAAAAAAAAAATCTATTGTTATGTATCTTTGATGCCAATTTTTCCCTGGCCTCTCCTTTTTCATTTTATTGTGTAGGTTACTAAAGTCTGGTGTGTCTCGCTGAGTAAAATCATTCTGTTTCCCATCATTCTCATACCACTCCTGAACAATTCTTCTTGCCTCCCTTTCCCCCACTGCTTTTGGTATTTTTGCTTTGCGCTACAGTCTCAGTTCTTTTTTTTCCCCCACCTTCACTTTTTGCTTCTTTTCCCTCATCTTTTGCTCCATGCTCACAAATCCTCTCTTCTTGAACACATTTATCTTTCTGAGACATTGTGGGTTTTGAGCCACTCTCAGTATCCTATAACCTCAGCCCGTAGTCTCACAATGTACTGCATGATCTCCAAGATCCATTGACTGAAAAGGATGATACTGTTTCCTGACAGTGTGCTGTACAGAGTGGGTGTTAGGAAGGAATTGGAGCATTCAAAGTTTAGCTTCAGCTCAGCATCTAAAATACTAGTCAAGCCATTTAGCTTTGTCTCTGCTTCTTTGACTCTGCTTCAGTCATATGGTGGTGATACTAAGAATATGATAGTGGGTTGCTGAAAGTGAACTAGGCAGAGTTTGAAATACCTTTCATGAAAAGGAGGTACATTTTTTTACTAGACATTCCAAATACACTGTTTGAAGTGGTAGGATTTCCTCTTTAGACAATAACTTCATGATTTATTATATTTTAACGTCAGTGGAAGTAGACACAGACCTGTCATTGCATTTAGATACTTCAACACTTTCATATCAAGTGTCTCTAGCAGATAAAATGCTCTTAAAACAGTTTTCCTGTCTACTTTCAATGTTTTCATGGCTCCTTTCTCTTGCTTTGTCTTTTTTGTATGTGTATTTCAGGGTTGGTAAATCACTGTTCATATTTTGATTACATGGTCTTTTTACCATGGTTGTTTACTCTCTTCTTTCCCAGGCATAGGTGCTGTGACACTGGTAGCCAAATATCTGAAAGAAAACAATAAATATTTAGCCTTGTCAGAGTGGCTTGTAATTACCACAAAACATTGTTTGGCAGAGTAAGAAATTCTGCAGACTATTTTCATAAGCTATGCATCTTGATATACTGTGGAATTTATTGAATAATTGTTTAATTTTTCATACATTTCAATGATTGTTTCATTATTAAATCTTAGAACAATTACAGATCTGCTCCTCAGAATCAGTACTTAGGCATCATTATTATTTTCTTCAGATTGCTTTTGTGGTAGAAGCAGAATAAAGGTAAAGTAAAAAACATTTCAGGTGGAGGTAATTATTTTTGAGAATGGTCCGAGGCAGCATCAGTGAAGTTTTCTGTAAAATAGAAAATACAGTGGTTGTATAAAAAACAGCAGAGTCTTCATTTCTCCTCATGGGGTCAGACCTTCCATCCATCAGCTTTCTTCAGGCATTTCTCTTCCAGTGTATGTATCATCTTTGTTCTACTTAAAAGAAAAATTAACCCAAGGAGGTGGTGTGCCTTTTTTACATAGGAGGTCAGACAAAACATTTCTAACTCTTTCTTCCATCCCCATGCTCTGTCTGTGAGCCCATGAGTAGTAAATACCATGCTAAAGTTTCAGCTAAGGGTTGACATTTTCCTTGGTTTTGGGTCCTGAGACTCTGTGGAAGTGATAGCATTATCTAAACCTGTTTGATCAAATGACTATTCTTTCCAGTCGATAGATTTGGAAACATTGCACTGGGGTTTTTTTGTTTGTTTGGGGTGGGGTTTTTTGTTGTTTTTTAACAACACTTATTCTTATAGCCTTGCCTGAATCATGGGAATAGCTACTTATGAATTTACTACATTTTATTTGGACATCTGAATCATGGAAAGCAGCTTTGTGTCATTAGTACCTACTAATTCACCTTTAAATATTTTAAGCATTTATTTGCAATAATTGTATGGTAAATGTATCAGTTCAATAAAATAGATATCATCTTTCCAGTAAGCTCTAGACACTTTGTAGTGACCAGCATTTTCAAGCTGTGACTGTGGTGGTGTTAGCTGAACAAGCTTTGGGAATAACCTTTTTTTTTAATTGATGAAGCAGCTTTGATAAATTCATGTCTTGCCAGAGCATAGTGTTATTAAAAAAAGAGAAGTGCTGGTGGAACTGCATAGCTAATTAAGTGCTTAAGGGAATTATGAACACTCGTCAGTTATTTCTGAAGTAAAACTTGGCTGGAGTTAAGATTGTTGGATATTGTTCTTAAAAATCTCAGTTCTTCCTTTCTTTACCTAAAGAAAACTCTAGGGTGGGTGGGTGGATATGTTGGACTCAGGTTAGCTTTTGGTTACAAAAGACTTGCAGGAAGCAGAGTTAATGTCACAGAAACCTAGAATTGAGGGGGGTTTGTCCACAGTTAAATCTGTAGAAGCTAGAATCTGGTCTTCACTGTTCATAGAAAAAACAAATTATATCTGTATGAAGAGAAATAAGTATACTTACAAATTCTAGGTAAGCACATACATTGGTAAGTTCACGTGAGCATTTGTGGAAGAAAAATTAATCCCATGAGAAGGATTTAGTGGCTATTTAGTGAATATATAAATAACAAGAATGTAAATCCTACTACAAAAAGGTGTGGAGTGATCCAGCCTGGAGAAATGGAATCTCTAAGTATAAAAACCATGTATTGTCAGATATATGTATATTCTTTTGAAAGCAACTTGAAAAATTACAGTATTTTCTCAAACTAGACACTTTTCCTTAAAGTGGACTTAAAGTAAATATCTTCAGTAGTATTACCTTAGTCACAAACAGAAAAAAATCTGACTGTATAGAATTGGTGAAAGAACATGACTTTCTGGAAAAGAATGGAAAATGGAAGAGAAAACATTGTTTTCAAGACAAGATTGTCTATAGTATCTTGTAAAATGTAATTAAATAAGCTGCTCCTATCACTCTGCATAATAAATTCAACTGCTGTTTCAATCATCCCTAGAATCTTAAATCCAAATCTTAAAGGAGATTCCGTGGGAATCATGAAAATAGCAACATCAGAGAGAGATCTACACTTTTTTCCCCCTCCGAATCAGAGCTGCTGGTCTCTTCTTGCAGCTGTGTACTGTGACTTGTCCATTGAATTCTGTCTCAAATAGCACTGAAGCAAATATTTTAGTAACCCTTATGTTCCTTAAATCAGTTAGCAATGATGGTCACAACTCTGAGGAAAAGCTACACTTCTCCATCTTTTT